TATTTTTCAAAAAAAAAAAAGCAAGAATATATAATCAGTAGAAAAAAGTTGGAAAAAGTTGTCATCTTTGGCCTACCATTAATAAAATGAAATGAAGCCATGTCTTTTCTATGTTTAGTTTAATTATTTGTGTGTCAGAAGTTTGTTTTTTAGGAGTTCTATTACTTCAGTGTTACATAAATTGTCCGTTTTATTTCAATAGATATTACTGATTTATCTTCAATGTTATGTTATATTAAGATCAAAATAGTGTATATATATTATGCTTATTTTTCTGATCCTTTGCGACATAGAATTTGCTTAAGATTTCATATTTGTTCATTCTTCAGAAATTTTGCTAGTCGAAAAATTAAGTATATTAGTCATTTTCTTTGATCTGTCACAATCAATCCTTTTTTATTCATGGACATATAGACACCCTCATAGAGACCCAACGCCCCTCACTGAGATTTGCATCATCATTGTTCAGTCCTAATAGATTGATCGGTCTCTTGAGTTATGTCACAACAAATACAAAGGTGAATAACCATATTAACATATGTTTTGACTTTTTTTCTCTTTTTCTAATATGAAATTCATGTGCATGTACTCCTAATTTTTTTTTAATCATAATTTAAAACAATTACTGTCATATTGGAGTTTCATTAGTGGTTAAGAGCAAAAAAAGAAAAAAGAAAAAGACTATCGGAAGTAATATTAGACTCAAAGTTTAATGATGCCAAATTAAGTAATTTCGAATAGTCTAAACTCTAAAAGCAAATTTGATCCTTTTTCATTTTTATCGACAAAAACATGTCTTTTTGGAATATAGAGAAAAAGAAATGTTCCATTTCCACTTTTTTTAAAGAAAAATTAATTAATGAATCAATTAGTAGATATAACAACTTCATTTATATATCTCTTTCTTATAAACAAAAAAGAGGATTCCCATTTATCAATGGCAAAGAGAAATGCAAGGCTAATTTAAAGTATGGTCCATTATTATTTATGTTTCCATCTTACTTAACGTAGAAGGGTAGATCGTCTACGTCATAGTTTTCAAAGTATTATTTTTCTTCGAATTTTATTGATACAAAATACTGTACATCAAACTATTTAATTATTTAATTTTTTTTAATGTTGAAACATTATTTAGGACAAATTTTAGCCGCGAAACAACATACTAGGATGCCACATTTTGGTGATGCAATTAATGAAGAAATTAAATAAAAATTGGACAAAAACTAAAAAAGCATGTTATTATTGTAGATTTAAAGACACCACATGGGATGTAATTAATAAATTAAACACACTTAATTGTACGATAAGTACTCAAAAATCAAACCTTTTAAATTAATTACCTCCCTGTCCTTTGGAGATGATTAATTCCCATATCTAAACGTAACAATCTATAAATAAATCTGGTTTTGGTCCTTGTAATATTTTTCTAAGCTCAATTAACTTTTATTTAATTAAAATGTGTGCTTTTGCACCCCTTTATATAAGAATCATGTCATATTTAGCACTTTTTTGTATTATATCAGTATAAAAAATGGAGTAACAATACAAATTTAATACACTGCGTCAATAATTGAATGATAACACTTAATAATTCATTGAATTAGCGAATATTCATGTAGTTTGAACGATCAATATTAGTGCACCTATCAATTGATTGAAGGTGAAATTTGCTTAATTGGAAATTACAAGGACTGAAATTGAAATTTATCGATATTTAAAGAGTTAAAAGTGCTAATATTCCTTCGTTCTTATACACTTTAATCGGGTGATTTTGGTCCTTGTGATTTTTGGTTAAACATATTACACCTTCGTTATGCATTCTAAATCCCTCTATGTATGGATTTTCACAAATTTAATGAATTCTTAAGTGCTAATCATTCAATTATCAATATAATTACCCTAAACAATTACTATAAATTTGTATTATTACACCATATTTGAGGGTAGTATAATTCTAAAAATAATCTAAATTTCATATACTTCCTACATATAGCTAGGGACCAAAAACTACACCTTTTAGTTAATTAAATGTTAAATGTGCTTCATAATATATTATGAAGATCAAGTTAGAACTAATCCATAATTGAGGGCCAGAAGTGTAATGGTCCCTTCCATTAATATATGAAGTGACAAAGCCTAGTGAATTTTTCTAAAGATGCATTTTAATTTGATTGAAATGTTTCAACTAATTTACTGCCTAAAACAAAAAAAAAAAACTTGCTAATTTTTTTTTATAGAGTTAGACTTTGAATATCACCAAATTTTTGCACTATAAGACTCAATGAAAATATATCTATTTTGGGGCTCGACTAATTTGAAATAGCATAAAAAAGTTTTATCTTAAGATAAAACAATCTCTATCAAAGACGATTTTATACTTTGAATTTAAATCCAAAATCTCTAATTAAAAATAGAAAAGTATACTTACAATTTTATCACAACATGTAATAGTTAATTAATGTAATATATATCACTTTTTTCTCTTTTCTTTTATCACATAAAGTACTCCCTCTAATGAACTTAATAATTTAGTCTATGTTATGAATATGAAGCTTTATAGTTGAAAATAAATGTTGTACCAAAAATCTTAAATTCTTGATAAATCAATATTGTCTTTTTCTTTTGGTACAAATTCTAAGCTTATTAATTGTTATCTCAAGTGTTATACTCCTTTTATTTACCCTTTTATAGCTATTTAATATTCAAATGTACTTTTTTTTCCCAACCAATCATTTTTTTTTGTACTTTTCATTTTCACTTTTACCGATCGTACTTCAGTCTATGCGATAGATTTTCTCTTTTAAATTTGTCGCAAAAAGATCGAAGCATTTTATATTTAGAAACAGTTTAATTTTAACTTTTCATTTAGATGTTATACATTCATAAAATTTAGGTCATATAACTCGCATGATATGTTTAAAATTGTATGTTTCAAAAGTTTTATTTTTAAATTTCTGACTTATTAAACAGGTTCACATATGTCTGAAATGAATTGAGTACTCTCTCCGTCTCAAAATAAATATTTTTTTTTCCTTTTTAAGAGTTAATTTTGGTTAACATTTGAAGCTTAAATTGGATAGATTTTGAAGATCAAAATTTAGTCATTCAAAAGCTATACGAAATAATATATTGTATATAAGTTCAATTCTACTCACGTCAATATAATTTAACAAGTACATTTTAAACTATTGGTCATCTTTTCATATAATTTGAATTTTATGAAACAAAAAACGATAGATAATTTGAGACGGAGGAAATAATTAAAAAACATAAATCATTAATAAACAAACACATAAAAGTCTTGGGTAGTTGCATTATTTGTTATCTTGAGCCTCATTTTCTAACCATTAATTGCTAGTCAAAAAGTAAAACATATTGAACTAGAATATAGTAATTATTTTTAGAGTTTGTCAAAACCTAGTCAAAAGGCTATTACTAGAAGAGTGCTATTTTTTGTTACTTTTATTTTTGTAAATTATGAAAAAATAATTACTTTAATTAAGTGATTGTCTATCATTGTTAGCATTTATTTTCATAGTCACCAAATTTTCAAAATTGAACTGTATTTTTGAACTAATACATAAGTACATTTACTTTTACTAAAGAAAGAAAATAGAGACTTACTTGTTATTGGATAAAAGTATGCAACTTACTTGTCCTTGGAAGTTAGGAAGTCATTTTCTATAGAAAATATTGTTATGAAATCGATGAACTGAAAAGAAAATCAAAGAGAGAATAAATGATAATGTACTCACCGCTACAAATAGGAATTGATGATGGATAAATCCCGTAACTAAATAAGTATATTTGTTGTTAATTTTATTTAGTGATGAATTATCATTAAATTTTGTTAGTATTAATAGCTTTTGTTGAAATTTTATATATTCATAAAATATTTATTAAATATATACAAATTCTTTGACAATAAATTCAGTTATTATATATTTAATTTTAGTTCGTTATATGAACTCGTAAACTTTAAATATTAATTTTGTCTCTTATTATATATCAATAGTTTTCGAAAATAGTAATTGCTAGTCAAAGAACAAAACATTGTACTAGATATATTATTTAGACCATGTCAAAAGCCTACTCAAGGGCTATATCTAAAGAGTGAATATTTTTGGTTACTTTTAATTTGTAAAAAATAACTATATAAGTGATGATGATCATATTATTACTTGTGCTAAAAGTATATGAAACTTAATTATCCCTAATAATATGTGTTCTATAAATTTATATTGTTACTTCATGTTTGACGATAATTATATATATGATTCTAAAATAGTCTAAAAGAATTAAAAATATATATTTAAATTATTTAAAGATTAAATATGCTTAATTAGACATCTTTAACATAAAATTATTATTATATATCCCTAAAAAAAATACACAACTTCCATCATACCAAACACACATTCGAATGATAGAATCAACATATATATTCAAATTGAGAACAATACAAAACCGTGCAAAGCTTGTGTACATGAGCAGATCTAGCTAGCCTTTGATTGAATTAGTTACGATTTACGTGAACTCAAATTTTTTTGCTAAAACTCTATATATTATTATATAACGATATCGAACTAAAATTTTCAAAAATTTCTTTATTAATATGTCACTAAATTGCTCGTATCCAACGTACTTTTTTATAATCCTTTGTTAATATGTGTTGAATAAGATCAGCGATAAAGATTATTGTTTAGCCACAAAAAAATTTTTGCCGCAAACATATATACATATTTAAATGTGAATTTTCATTCATTATTACATATTAACTTTATATAGAAAATCATAAACTTCAAATCTCAAATTTAACTTTATATAGAAAATCATAAACTTCAAATCTCAAATTCATATCCGTGCAATAGTTTTTAGGTGATGCTGTTAATTGCTCTAGTACAAAATTAGTTCACCGACATAAAGTGTATGGTTTAAAACAATTGGCTATATATATTTATGTGGACATTTGTAGTTTTGCACAAAGTCATATCATATCATATTAATTCATTAGCAACAAATTTTTACATTTTATTTATATATCTTTTTTCTTCTTCTTCTTCTTCTTTACTTCACCAAAAATTCTTCAATCAATTCAATTATAATTTATTTTTAAAAAAAAAAATGGTACACTCAAAGAAGTTTAGAGGTGTGAGGCAACGCCATTGGGGTTCTTGGGTTTCTGAAATTAGACACCCCTTGTTGTAAGTTAATTCTTTCATGAATACTATTTTTCTTATTAACGAATCATAGTGAATCTCAATAAATTGTGACAGCAAGATCACTCTTATATGAATACATTTTTCATATAGATATACAACATCTCTCTTTTTCAATTTCCTTGCTCTTATCTAACTTAACTTATCAATGTTACAATGTTGGTATTGGGGGATGGGATGGGAGATTAGCCATTTATTTGTATACACTATCAGAAATCAATCAATTTTCGTTGAAAATAGCTTCATTGAGTGCTATGCTTTTTCCGATGGACGACTGATCATTTTTATAGTATATCTACTCATAACAATTACTTTGAATATGATAAAAGTCATTTTCTGACGTAAAATTTTATTTTGTAGGGCCGTTATAACTCTTTGTCAGACCTTTTAGTTATTTGTGTTTTTTTATCTAGTCACTTTAACATCATAGAAAATAACTTTTTTGACTTTACTGTTATAGTGAATAAATATCAACAATCAAGCTTGATTTTAACCCAAACTATGTTTTTTTTTTCTTTTCTAATTATGATATATATGTGTTATAGGAAAAGAAGGGTATGGTTAGGGACATTTGATACCGCTGAAGAAGCAGCAAGAGCATATGATGAAGCAGCAATATTAATGAGTGGAAGAAATGCAAAAACTAATTTTCCAATAACACAAGATTTGGATAATAATAAAGATGTAAAGGCTAAAGATCAAGAATCATCATCATCATTTTCATCACCAAAAGCTTTATCTGAAATACTTCATGCCAAGTTGAGGAAATGTAGCAAGGTGAGCACCCCCACCCCACCCCCCACACCTCCAAATTCTGGAGGGATATGACTTACATGAAAATGTCTATCGAAAAAACGTGTTTCAAGTAGTGATTAGTCCATTTTTTGTGATACTATTTTCTTGTTAGCATATTTTAAAAAGAATAATAACCTTTCTATTTCTAGAAATAATTTAACTTCAACTTTTTTATCCTACCTTTAATCACATGACTTTGTAGTCACACAAATATTGCATATTTTGATTACAAGTTTCAAAAAGTTTTTATTGAAAACTATATATTATTCCTTTGTTTCAAATGATATATGTGTCATACTAATTTCCTTTCTAATTAGTATGTTTCAAAAAATAGTATCGACCACTTTGTATAATTAGTAACTCTTTAATGTCAATATCTATTCCACATGGTTTATAGCAGTCACTACTAAAAATTCACTAAACGAATTTGGCTCATCGATAACATTTTCAAGAGGTAATTTTACATGGAAAATCACTTACTGATCCATATACTTCAAACATATTATTTTCATATAAAGATATTTCTAGTGAAATTAATTAATTTTTGTTTTTTTTAATCATATAGGTACCATCACCATCTCTCACTTGTTTAAGATTGGATATTGAAAATTCACACATAGGAGTTTGGCAAAAACGTGCTGGCCCTTCTTCTGATTCAAAATGGGTAATGACAGTTGAACTTCAAAAGAAAAATAATCCCAAAAATATTAATGTTCATGAAGGAGAATTAAATAATAATAATAATAATTCCAAGAATAAGTGTGGTGAAATAGTTGAAGGTATAAGTATTAGAAGTGAAATGGATGAAGAAGAAAGAATTGCTTTGCAAATGATTGAAGAATTGCTTCAAATATGATAAAAAGGAAACAAAATCGCGATGGGCAATTTCTGTTGCTAAACAACAAAAATCTGTTGATGCTGATCCTATTTAACGATGGATTATCTAACGGTGGATTTCAAAGCTAATTTCTATTTCTATAGTAGATAACTATCATTGTCTAATGTTTGCTTAATTATCATGTAATGTGTGATTAATTTTATGTTATTAGTTTGATTTCTAATAATAATTTGGGCAAGAAAAGGGCCTATGTAAGTAGTATTTTTATTTTTTTTTATAGAAAGAGACAAGTTACTAAAGTTGTATATCCTTTGTGTAGACAAAGTAAATCAACAATATTGTCATCTTCTTAAAAAAATAATTAAAAAGAAGTTTGATAAATAAAATATCTTGATTGTATATCATTTATCTTAGTATTATTTTTTGTATTTTATTGGTGCTTGTAGTGTGGATTGTATTGCTCTTAATTTCAATCAAATATTTCCCCTCTTGATTTTTAAATAAATCAACATAAAAAGTACTATTTATTAATTTTTCTTATAACAAGTTCTGTACAATTTCTAAAGGTTACTATATTAGAATTAATATATATTTACGTATCATTAATTGGGAATGCAAAATATTCTATTGAAAAAAGAATTTTAATAATGTACCGGTCAGAATGACAAAATGAACCTCTAGGAACAAAATGAAACAGAATAAATCATAAACTTCTTCTTTTTTTTCAAAATTTTATTTAATATTTTATACTTATATTAATGTTTCGACTAATTTGGATTCATTTAATTACTTAAGGTTTATTTAAAAGGAAAGATTGGTAGGTTAATCTCATTAATGTATAATGTGACATTGATATAATTGCTATTTAATCATTAATTAAATATTGATTGTACCTTTCATGGTTGTCAAAATCTGTCAAAACAATTTCTCTAATTAATTATCAATTAATTATTATTTAGGTACGTCATCCTATCTCCCCCCCCCCCCTCCCCACTATTTTAGAGCCGGTTTGATATTACGGCTAAAAATAACTTATTTTTATAAACACTTTTTCAAATGACTTTTTAAAAAATGCTTTTGAAAAAAAATAATTTGTGTTTAGCTAATTCATTTGAAAAATGTTTTTCATAAGCAAATTACGTTTGGATGATCTTTTTAAAAAAAGTGCTTTTGAGAATCAAATTACAAAAAAAAAACTTTAAGAATTATATTGTTCTTTTAATGATATTGTATAATAATGATAATGATTTTTCTTTTCACGTGTAGAAATTATAACGCTGAAAGGATCATTATATTTTGGTATAAACTTTATACATTTTGGAAATAGAAATTCACCTATGCCCTAAATTCAGATAATTTACACCAGAAAATCGGTCTTATATTGGAGTAAATTACTTTCTAACCAATATGACTTTGTACTTGAGAAAATTTGAAAAAATTAAGAAAGTGAACTAGCTAAGTAGGTTTATTTAATTATATCTACAATAAAAAAAAATTCTAAGTCAAATCCTTAAACACATAATTAATATAATTGTCTATGTTATGTGCAATATAATTTCTAACTACTATAGTTGAAAGTGAACTAGGTAGGTTTAATATTTTATTTTTATGCTCTACATTTGCTCTTTAATTATCAAAGACTAAGGGATGCATTAATTTTATTTTTTTTAAAAAGACCTTAGCTTACAATGCAATGAAATATCACCATCGTTATTCATTACTAATTCATTATTGAGCCTGTATGTAGAATATGCTAGGAATTGTCAATAATTAGTCTCAATCTTATTGAAAAGTCATAAAAAATAAAGTACAATTTTTGTATGAAAAGTCATCAATCATAAAAGAAAACTTTAATGTACATGTGTGAAAATAATATAATTACCTTAAAAAATAATATGCATACTTGATTTCATTTATTTATTTGAGTCGAGGGTTTATTGGAAATAATTTATCTACCTTCATACGATAGAGGTAAGGTTGCGTACATTCCATCATATTCAAACTCACTGATGAAATTACACAGGATATATGATATTATTATTTTTGTTAAAAATAATATGCATATATACAATAAATAAAAAGAGAGGTATGAAAAGTATATATCGATTTGGACCACAAAATAAAGCTTTAATAAAGCCACTATAATAATTTTAGAGCTAAATCTGCGATTTAAAAAAGTAAATTGTGACTATAGATCGATACTATTTAAACACGTCATGGATATGACACGTGTGGTACATAATTTATGTTTTGGCTTAAATATTTAGGACCATTTACAGGGGAGCGTAGGACCAATTTATTTTATGAGTAATGAAGATATAATTAAAGAATTAATTTTGGGGACACCAATTTTAGTTTTACCATTTACAATATATTATACTAATAATTTTTATGGTCCCTCTATTTATTTCTGCACTAATTGGAAAACCTCTTTTTTCTTTTTAGTTTTCCACTCACCTTTGGTATTGGAGTATAGTTTATGAAAAAGGTAAAGCATTCTCTATAAAAAAGAATATCATATTTCGAATTTCAAACATGAAACCTTTGATCAAAGATGAAAATACTACTATATAATTACCACTCATCACAATTCGTATTGGTTGGGAAAACCTCTTAAGTCTACTAGTACAAGCATTTTATGAAAAATATATCTTAGGTATATTTAATCGAAATCAACCCTTAAATTTCAAGTACTCATATGGTTTGTTGACTTTATGTATAAATAGATTCATAGTACCCGAAGCCGTAGGATGATCCAATAGTTGTGAATTGATGTAAAAGTTTCTAGCTAGAGACAGTTCCAAAATTTCAACTCGATGAATTTTCAATCTTAAACGTTTTTTACATTGGAATTATTGTACTTTTGAAATTTTGCGCACTACGCTCACCTCATACATATTTTCAGAGCTAACACATGTAAGTTCCCCGAACATCGATCGTGAGTAAATGGGCCGAAGTTAGCCCGAAAATTGGAATTAGATAGTACAAGCCCATTATATTTCATAATAGTAATTTGTTCATTAGATGCAAGAGAGGCCCAATTTACAAAAATCCAGCCCAATACATGTAGAAAATGGGGGCCCAAATATTGTTGGAGACCCAATTGAAGTTTGGGAGTTTACCTTTTTTTTTCTTTTCCAAATAATAATTTTTTGTTTCTAGACAATTGGTTACAAAGACATGACAAGTTTATATTTTATTTTTGGTAAGAGCATGACATGACAAGTTTATTGATTATATATATAATGTAATTTAACTGGTTATAATAGCGAGTTATTACTTTATTCCCAAAGTTATCGTATCAAATTTGATATAGTTGTCTTTGTGTGACATATAACTTACGGATTTAAGCCATAAAAGAAGCCACTAATGTTTGCATTACATTAGATTGTCTATCTCACGCCTCTGGAGGTGTTGAGATCATTCTCCGGACCCTGCTAACGTGGAGCCATGGAAGTAGTCACTAATACTTGTATTAGAATAGATTGTCTACATCATACTCCTTAGGGCAGCCTAATGCTTAAATTATCCCGCGTAAGAAGGATCACACCTTAAGGAGTGTAATGTAGACAACCTAATAAGCATTATTGACTGTTTCTACAACTCGAACTCGTGATTTGTATATCAAAATAATATAGAATTTGTTGTCTTTTTCAATAAACTCTTGGCTTTTTTCTTGAGAAAAGACTGAATAAACTGTTGGAAAATCATCAGTTGGTAGTTGAAACTTGAAAGGTCGTAATTGCAATTTGCAACCAAAAAGAGAAGTGAAGAAAAAAAAAACATAAATGTTAGATAAGTTGATAACAAAGAATAATAATAAAACAATATGGTCCATTCTTACTTTCTCTTTTGGCATAGTATCCTAATAGGGATAATTACATATTTTGATCCCTAAATTATTAGTAAATTTTAATATTAGTCCTTGAGATATTTCAATAAGCATATAATCTTATACTATTAAATAAAATGTACATGTTTAGTCCCTTAATTATATATTTACTATGGTCGTCTAGTACTATATTACATATTTCGTTGTGTTATATGTCGTCTTTACAGCCGCCAAAAGCTTACCCTTGTTTGGATATTGAATGGATTGACCCGAAGAGATCTAGTTATCAAATAATTGAGCAAATCGACAATAATATATTTACTTGCAGTACTCAATTGCCATTCTTAAAATAATAGTCTAGTAAATTATGATAAGTTCAATCGATCATATTTAGCAGAAATTAATATTCCTTGTCAAATGACAAATATCATGAGAATCAAAATAAAAATTTGTATATATTATAGGGACTAAAATTGCAAAATTCCCCTCCAATAATAATAAATAAAACCAGGACACTATCTCAAAGAATATGAAAATTTTAAAAGTGGCTTATTTCTTGGTTTTCTCTAGTGGGGGTAAAGCTCACAATTTTTTATCAAACAAAAAAAAAATAGAAACAAAGGGAATTAATTAAGATTATATCAAAGAATATGCTTTGTGGCTTCTTTTATTTTCCATCACTATTTAATTCTCATCCTATTAAACTTATGCACGTTATATTTTAAAGAAAGTTCCATGAGGATCTTTAGAGAACATGACAAATGGATAAAGCATAGAATTTCATTAATCTAATCCAACTTGTTTTTTTCATAGATATGGTGTTACAAGATTTTTTTTAAAAAAAAAATACAAATTTTAATAAGGTGTAACAACTTCAATTTCATAATAAAAACATTCAAATATTATAATTACTATACTCGAAGTTACAACGGAAAATGGAACTAACAAACAAAATTATTGTAGAAGATAACTTAGAAGGGAGATGAGAAACATTGACTCAAAGAAAGGGGATGAGAGGACTAGACATTTTTCTCAACAACTTGCATTTGCATAATCCCTAAATCACATATCACTACCCTTTTTGATGGAACGTTTCATGCCCACTACTCAATCCGAATCCCAAATTAACCTGGCCCTATTGCTCGTTCTCGACCCAATAACTCTTGTCAGCCCAATAACAACTTGTATGACATTAGTATCTACATTGGGCTGGACTTGGTTCATAACAAAGGCGATTCAGTAGTTGACTTGACTCGAGTAGTCACATCACAATTTACACGACATTTTTGTAGTTCTTTAAAAAAAGAATGACATAATTTTTAAATTAAGAAATAATTGACTTTATATTTCTTATTTTACTTCATGCAAATAATATGATAGGTTCAAGATCACATATTTCAAAAGTCATATAGCCATACAAATATTATGATATAATTTAAAAACTTCAAAAACATTCAATTTTTTTCTTAAATTTCTTGTTAATTCAATCTATATCGCATAAGTTGAAAAAGAGGAAGTATTTATAAGCTTTTGGAATTCATGATGATTTATTTTTTGAAAAGATTTTAAGTTAGTCTTAGTTATCATTTGAGTGGAGTTAATTAATCCTCACTTAACTAGTTAAATATCATTACTACAATTTACAAGATCATGCCCTTTTAACATCAATATGATTGTCTATCCCCCCACCCTCACCCCAACCCCACCCACCCCTTTCTTTTTGTTTTTTGTTGTCTTAACTTATCAAGTTTGATGATGTTGAAGCATAGAAATACTGCATTAATACAACAATCCAAGTTTTTGTATATTTAGTTCTATAAAATGTATCTGTCTAGAGATAGCTCTATATATGTTTTTATGATCTAGTGACATTTTTTAAGTCACATTCATAAGTGTTTTTTTTCATGGGTGTGCTATTCGTTTTAGAGCTCAATTAATTCAATTTCGTAATAAAAAATCTCACTTTAAAAACAAAATACTTCCTATCAAAGGTAATTTCATACATAAAACTCAACGCAGAATCATTAATTAAATATAATAAAGTAATTATATACCACTCCAACGCGACCATTGATCAGGATCACATTCATAAGAGTCAAACAAAGTATTTAGTGTCTCTAGCATGAGTCAACATATACTAAAAAAACTGCATCTCATTTGATAATTGAATTTGAAGGGTCGTTTGGTTGTGGGCCTTGGCCCTTGTGGCACTATATAGTAGTTAACATAAAATAATACAATATTTAATTGACAATACAAAAAAACAAGTAATTCATATGTAATAATCCATTCAATATTAAGGAAATAAGCCATCAATCTCTATGAGGAGAAGAAATTTCTAATTATTCGATCAGAATAGCAAGTTTTCTTCTAGTGATGATTAATTATTCTAACCAGACAAAATTATCGACTATTATGAATGACATACCTTGAAGACCATTAAAAAATATTTGGATAATAATTTTTTCATTATTAATTACATCATAAATATTCGTGGTACAACTAGTAATTGAACCAAAAAAAGAATATATATAACCTTTATTAAAGGGGAGAATTTTATAATAGTACCAAAACAATGAATTATGCTTCTTTTTTTAAGCATATACTCTAACTAGATACGAATCCTATCTTTTCTTGGGAATTGCCACAATGTCAAAGAAGAATAGTCAATAACATCAATTAATAACTAATGAAAAAACAAATCACAATTATTATGATAAGATAAATAGAATTGTTTCATTATTTTTAATCAAAAAGTCCAAGTTCAAATATTGAATATGAATAAAATCTTATTAGAGAATGTTTCCTCCTTATATATACTTACTACTGCTTGAATTTGAATTAGTCAAAGCAATAATATACTGAAAAAAATTTAATGCAAAAATTAATTGTTACGTAGAATTCTAATTTTACCCTTTAAAATAGAAAATTTGGTCTATTGTTGAATTTTTTTATTTGTCCTTTTGTGGATTTTTTTTTTAATAAAAGCTATACGCATATTCCTCAAGCTTTGGAATTATACCATTCTTCTTAATTACAAAATAAATTTGTGGAGGATATTTAATCGGCTCGGCTTCAGCAGCTGCTTTTAATTTGAGCCATGCTTTTTTAGTTATTATTATATTTAGATTAAAATAATCACACCTCAAACGTTCACTATCGTATGAGACTTGAAGTTTAATATATTGCAGTAGAATTCGAACAAACCATCACACTATTAGTATAAAGGGTATATATGTTCTAGATTTTTTACGACAGAGACATCAATATCCCAAAATATTGACGGAGGGTATATGCATACTATTTATGATAATTCGAGGAAATATTTATATTTTTATCTTTAAATAATAACAACAATATATCCAGTGAAATTTTATAAATGGATTTGAGATATATATATATATATATATATATATATATATATCTTACTTCTACTATTTCCGATACATTCTCAACTCGCAGTAACTTATTTAAATAAAAAACATGGTGAATTTTAAATTATTTTTCATTTTTTTAATAATTGAAATGGATAGGACTATATAAGACAGAGTATGATAAGCTATATAGCTCACCAGCTTCAACTATTAACTAACCGCCACGTCACGGTTGCCCAAATCAAAAGGGCCCCACCAACAGCCTACTTGTTAAAACAAAAAGGAATAAAGCATAAACCCAAAGATATCCTCTTATAGATATTTTTTTAAAAATAAAATGGCACCATAAAAGAATATTCCCAACTATACCCCTTTAACCCCCCCCCCCCCAAACCCCACGCCATTTTTCAATTTTTTTATTCGACGTTAGCTTATACTAAAGTTTGATTAGTTTGAATTTATACATTTCAAGATTCATTCTCCAGCGAATACGCTTCTAACAAGACATGCTTCTATATTCGAGATTCGAATTTAAATTTTTTAATCACAAATAAAAAATTTCAACTCCATCACGAGATCCGTATTGATCCTCACTCTCACCTTCCACTTTCACTCATAATATTCTCTGTCCAATTTCCTTACTCCACACATTTCACCTTTATATTAAAAGGGCCAAAAATATTCTATTTTTTTACTAATAGATATATCAAGAGTTATATTTGATTCTTTTAATTGCTCAATAATATATTTATATTGATAAAATAAAATATAACATTGGCCTTTTATGACTAGATAAGTTAACAAAAAAAATATTAAAAAAAGGCTAATAACAAACGGCTTATTTGGATAATTATTACATATCATTTCTTCTATTATTTCAATAAATATAATATTTAGATAAATTTTATCCTAAAATAAGATTAACAAACAAGAAATTTTCAAAATAAAAAATTATAATGTGATCGCACCAAATTGATTATATATAAAAGACAAAACGGTCAAAAACACGCTTAAATCATCTCAATTTTTTAAGTTTCAAATTTGATCTATTATGTGTGTGAGTTTCCTATCTATATTATCATCAACTATTTATTAAAAACGCATCTTAACTTATCAATTGTTCAATTTTCTTATATGAACAATGATAATATTTCAGATAGTAAACTCACAACAACTAAAAGTTTAAATATGAAAATTAAAAATCAAAATACTTAAATATGTTTTTATTATTAACTCGATATAATTTATTTTTTTTAAATGATGAATTTAGCATACTATAATAAATTTAAAATAAATAGTGAAAAGAGCACAAGAAGAGAATATTCCCAATTATACCCCCAGCTCACTCTTCATATTCTCTCACTTTTTCTTCACTCCACACACTTAATTTTACCATTATATCAACCTTTCAATTCCTTCATTTTTCTCTCATTTCTTCTCTAAAATTTGTACACTTCACATTTTCTGTGTGTGAATTTCTTCATCGGAGTTATGAAGTTCGGAAAAAGTTTGAGCAATCAAATCGAAGAAACGTTACCGGAATGGAGAGACAAGTTTTTATCATACAAGGATTTGAAGAAAAAGTTGAAGTTGATTGAACCGAAGAGATCGCTGAGTTCCGGTGATGGAGACGATGTTAGGGCTTCTAAGAGGATGAAAATGGCTGCCGGAGGTTTTGATAAGGTGCCGGAGAAGGAACCGATGACTGATGCGGAAGTTGAGTTTGTGAATTTGTTGGAAGATGAGCTTGAGAAATTCAATTCGTTCTTCGTTGAGAAAGAAGAAGAATATATCATTCGATTAAAGGTAAAAAACAATCAAATTCTGGTGCCTTGTGAGTTTTTTTTTTTTTAGGATTTTAGAAAAAAATTAGGAAAATACAGTTCTCGTCGTAAACCTTGTTTAAATTCCAAATTGTTTGGTTATACTTGCATGAACATTCCTAAAAATATTTTTTTTGGGCTAATTAAGCTTGAAGCAGAGGAGGATATTTGAAAAAAATAAATTAAATGATGTATTTGCCTTTAAATTCTGGATTTGTCTCTGTCTGGAAACTTCTGGAAGCTGATTTTTCTCTGATTAATGCATTGTTGTTTCGATTTTGGTGATATACAGGCTACAGCTCATTTGTGAAACTTGTTGATATGTATTTTCTTATGTTTTGTTGTTTAACAGACATTAAGCTCCCGTTTGGTCATAGATTTTTGATGTTATGGATTTTGAAACTTGAAGTTGTGTTTGGACATTCATTTTACGTGCGAGTAAACATCCAGTTTTTGGAACTTGAAATGTTTCAACGACAAAATTCTAGCTAAGAGATACCTATAATATTGATTTCTAGTGTATTACTCCAGCTGTATGCTGAAGGAAGAAAATAAAGTAATGGAATAATTTGCTTTTGACACTGTACTAATTAGAACCAAACACAGTGATGCAGGAATGCATATAATACTAATTGTGTAATTAAAGAACAAACATAAAGGAAAAGAATCCCACGAATCAATTATGTAATTCCTCCTGTGAATAGAGGCAGAGTAGTGAAAAGATGCTGGCTTTGTTGGATTGATGTAGAAGTATGCTTAGTGCTTACAAAGTCGGATCCAAAATCTGAAGTTCATGACTTTCTAGGATGACCTAAAGTTACAACAACAACAACAACAGACCCAGTGAAATTCCACTAGGATGACCTCATGTTACAACAACAACAACATACCCAGTGAAATCCCATTAGGATGACCTCAAGTTGATGTACAATGATAAATGGGTTCACAGTCAAGTGTAGTAATCTTTTTAATATATACATGGGAACCTCTAGACACCCACATAATTGAATAAGATTCCATGAAGTTCAATGAAAATATAACAATTCTCATAGGGATGACAACTGGGGCAGGATAGGGTGGGGCGGGGCAAAACAAGCTCTTAACTGGGCAAGGCATGGTGGGTTGAGTTTGTTGTAGGGCAAGACTTCACCCGCCCCACCCTATTGCCAATCCTATATTCTCTTAGTGAAGAGGTCCCCTGTTCTTGCCGAATTGTGTGTATATGCTTTATACAAGCATCATCTATTGTGCTAGGTATTTGCTAGTTATTTTTCAGGTTTGCGCTTTTGAGTATGAATTTGTAATAACAGGGCTAAACAGAAGTTTTTATCTGCATCCATGATTTGAATGTAGACATGCCATAGTGCATAATAAGTACAATCTCATTCTAACTTATTTCATTTTGTGACCCAAAGATCCTATAATTTGATTAGAAGCAGAATCTTGATGCCATAGTTGTGCTGGGATACAAAGAAATCATTGGTACTAGATGTAGTTCACACTAATTATTGGTTATGCATCTAGTTGTTTCCAAGAAGAAGAAAACAATCATTACCTCTCGATAAATAAAAAATGATTATGCAAGGTCTTGTTAGATTTTGATCCTGTATTTGACATGTTTCGTAAATTGGTAACAGGAGTTGCAAGACAGAGTGGCAAAGGCAAAAGATCGTAATGATGAGATTCTAAAGATTCGCAGGGAGATAGTAGACTTCCACGGGGAGATGGTTTTGCTGGAAAATTATAGTGCCCTCAACTATACTGGTAAATCCAATCTTTCTTTGGATGTATGAAATTAATTGTACCTCAGAATTTTAAGGGTACCTGTGAGAAGTCTTTGTAAATGTGCAAGAGTTGATACTCGGGCATGTGCTATATATTTGCATCTACACTCATTGTCTGATTGGTGTGCACTGAGATTTCGGTGTCTGCAAAGCTAGAAATGGTGCAGGAACAAATTGAGATAGGATATAAGTCACCTGTATTGTCTCATGAGCAGTGGCGGATGTAGCTCTTAGGCAACGGGTTCATCCGAAGTATATATGTGAAAACCAACTAAACTCTCAACAAATATTGAACCTGTACCCATAAAAAGTGCAAGTTCAGTGCTAAAAATCTTAAAAGGTTGAACCTATCAAGTTTAAATCCTGGATCTGCTTCCGGTGATGAGCCATTCTGATCTATTCCTGTTTTTGCTTATAGGGCTCGTGAAGATACTCAAGAAATATGATAAAAGGACTGGTGCTCTTCTTCGCTTGCCCTTCATTCAGAGGGTCTTGCAGCAGCCTTTCTTCACCACTGATTTGCTATACAAGCTTGTAAAGGAATGTGAGAATTTGATCGACCGCCTATTCCCCATCATTGACACCTCATGTATTACCGCGGAAGCCGATGGAAATGAAACTTCAACTAGCGGCAACAACAAAAATGATGGTCTACTTAGAGCCCCAAAGGAGCTGACAGAGATTGAGTATATCGAAAGCTTATACATGAAGAGCACCATATCTGCTTTACGAGCTTTAAAAGAGATTCGGAGCAAGAGCTCAACGGTTAGTGCTTTCTCGTTGCCTCCATTGCAAATTACTGGACCGGAAGATACTTGGAATAAAATTCCAATCTTAGAACAAGCAGCCAAGTAGTCTTAACTATATCGGGACAGTTGTTTGATGCCCCCTTGAATGTGTTCTCTTTTTATACACCAAGTAGTATTTATCTTTTTTCCTTTTTTGGTTCTGATAATTCACATGTTTTGCATGTATTAGATACTAACACACATGTAAAATACACAAATTTTAATCTCAAAAGTGTGTGTGATGAACTCCTCTCGTTCATCTCTTAAACTGATTATTCTGCTAGTATGTATCTTGTTTGCCTTTAAATGCCTTTTATCTTTGCTATGCACGCTATTGAATACTGTCTGCTTCGAGCCTGCCTCTGCCTAACTTGTTGACCTCACGGCGGTGAAGACAGTCATTATTTGTGTTACATCTTTGAAGTGAGGGCTTATCATAGGCATTGAAGCAACCGAGAGAAAGTAAGTTAACTATTGCACATTCCCCTACTTGGCATCATTAGGTCACTGTGGCTGGCTGTCGTCCTTGCTCGACTGGTGAGTTTTGTATTCAAGCTCCCTTCTGCTTTTGTACTCGAGAGTGTTAATATTCATCTGACTCGAGGAGAAACCTCTGTTCATTACCATTCGAGACTTTTATGCCTCTAGAAACTGTCTACCTGAGAATGTCCCTGAGCCAATATGTGTTGGTGACTTGGTTCTATCAGAAAACAGATTACCTGTTTAGTTGGTGTCAAAGAGAAACCCAACCCTCTTCCCAACATTCAGTGATCATAAAACTATTATTCTCACGAGTTTAACTTCTATGTACCGACAATTTTCAGCTTTAAGATTTACCTAAAGCTAGCAGCTATAGCCTATATAGGTAATCGACCGTAAAATGGATTCGTAACCTGAAAAATAAGGCAAGTTTTTGCTACAAGCAAATGTCTGGAAAGATGAAGATTTCTGAAGGCTAAAGTGGAAAATGCAGAACAAAACTGCTATAGAGGATTACCATAGAGGGACCAAATTAGACTAGAAACTGGAATTTCATTAATAACATTTAAGATTAACACTTTGCTACCATTGAAGGATGGCAAACAACAACATAATACCTAACATAGTTGATAGTACTTCCACAAGTCGGGGTTGGGAGGGTGAAGTGTACGTAAACCGTACCCTACCTTTGTGGGGTAGAGATGTTTCTGATAGACCCTTGGCGCTTAAGAAAATCGTTTTTCTGAACGGATTTGAAAGAAATGCTAGTGTAAAAAGTTGTGATGAAACTATTGAAGAAAGAAAGTACCGACAGTCAAAATCTAATCTTTCAATTCAGAACACACTACGTCTAAATTTTGACTCTGTTCATGCTTGTAATGTTATCGACATGGTAACAAACTAGCTAGAAGTAAGTCACAAGAGCACAATCACATTATTGTTTTTAGCTAATTTAATCATGAATAAACAAACTCCTTAATTACCTTTTTGAATTTGTCAATAAAATACGGGATTTGATATTTATGGGTTTGGACAACAATCTCAAGTCTATATATAATAACTGGATTTACAATCAAGTATTATGTGTGTTGAATATAATTATCTTTTAAACGTTTCTCAACATATGTTTTCTTCACTTGACAAAATTAGGGGTGAGTTCTATCCATGTCTCACTAAAATACCACCAAGTAGTGTTGAGGACAGGGTATACATAGGTCGATTTGATTTGATTATTTCAACAAGATTAATTAGTATCTACTGCATTTTCCTTTTCTAAAAACATTTATTTTTTCTAGTACTACATCCAATTCCTTCTACATTTTGCTTTGATCTTTTTAGTTTTTCGACGTCCTGCAAATACTATTATTGGATTTAAATTAAGAAGATAAATATAGCTTATAAGTTAAAAAAAAAAAGTCTTTACTAATATATGAAGGCACTTATCCAGACATTAAATACTTATGTCCTTAATATATTTGTCATTTTTTTAAAACTTTAGAGCAATGTTTTTTCTTATACTCATAGAAAAAAGATTTTAGTTACTCGACGTTAAATTCTTATGTTCTACCTTAATTTTCTTATATGATTTACGGATATGTGGATCCTTCGGAACATATTTTTAGTAAATATTTAACAAATGGAATAACAACTTATTTATCTAGGACATATTTTTTTCCCCCAATTAATTTAGTAACTTATTTTATAAATGGGCTAATAACTTATTTAATACATGGGTTAATGTATTTTTTTCCCAATAAATGGTCTAATAGATTTAATTGAAAAGAATATGTCCCATAAATCACATAACAAATTAAGGTGGAACATGAGGATTAATGTTGTCGTGATTAATATGACCCTTTTTTAGAGTATCAGGATAAATATGACTTAAAGTTACAAGAAAAGAAAAGGATAAATGTATTGAGGACACGAGCATTTAACGTCGTAGGGGTAAATATGACCCTTTCTGAGAGTATAAGAACAAATATGACTTTAAAATTAAATGAAAATAGCAAATATGTTGAAAAAGTATAACAAAGGCCAAATATAACATATTTATGGGAGTATAAGAATAAATATGATTCTTTTCTATATTGTAAAACTATTTTTTTTTCTCTGTTATTAAATAAACTCAATAAAAACCTGACTAAGTCTGAACTTACACCGAAAATTTCTAGAGTAAAGTGCTCCCTAATTTCAGTAAGCCATGTAAGTGTCCAAATTGCCTCAATTATTTTGTGTCCAAATTGCCTTATAATACTATTTTCTTATTTATATTTAAATATTGAAAGATGAAAATAATTGAGAATCTTAGCTTTTTGACAGTGGATGTTAGTTAATTTTATTTATTTATTTTTCAAATTAAATTATTTATGTCGATTTTTTAAATATATAGATCAAAACAGTTAACATTGATTTTTTTATTTCGATTTTTCTCGATTTGATTTTCTTAATCATAATGATCCATTTTTTTTTAAACATCAAATCAAAGTACCAATCAATTTCTTTCTTCATTTGATTTGATTTCTTTTTAACTCCCCTAATCTAAAATGATTGAAGTCTATCTACTTTTAATAGAAGATTTTGAATTAAAGAAAATAAATAATATTTTGATAAGAAGCATTTTATGATTTTATTATATTCGAGCTAACCAATTACTATAAAGTAATTTTATAGAATGCTTTGAATATCGATCTGTTAAATCGAAAAGGAAAATATCACACTAAAATAATTGTTTTTCAATTCTTCCCATGCTTGTACCTTGTTGTTATCCTCATTATTATTGGTACATTTTTGTTCTTCTTTATAAAATAATAAAAATAAAAATCAATCATATCTTTACTTAATATTATATTCATCGACTTATTCAAGATTTTGTAAATAGCAATTCTCGATCACATGCACAAATTTATTGAAGTTATGAACCACCAATAAAAACCTTTAAATATATAGTTACATGGCCATATGCAATATAAATCATTAAAAATCGAATCAGATGGAGATTTGTTGTACCAAGATTTGATTATCATATCATATTGAAATTTGAAATAACGAATTGAATATTAAACACCATTCAATCATAATGAATTATTTATTATATATATGAGTAAGATTAATAAATGATTTGAATATCTGATTGACTATGTCGATAAATCCACAACTCAAAATTTAAAAGTGGAGGTAATCTAACTTCTTTACATGATTTCTCTAAAAGCTAACATGTACCGTTGGACAAATTATGAACATATCTTTTTCTTCAATACGTAATTACAAAATCAAAGTTTGATTACCTTACCCGAGTTTAATTTGCTAAACTAAATATTTTAAGAGTTCACTATTTGATATTTACTTTGAGTTACGAATTATCAAATACTAAACACTAATTACTCTGTACTCATACAAGCAACAGGAAAATATTAAAGAGTTATTTTATGAAATAATGAAACTTGAATAAGAGATATTATAATTTTGTTTTACTAAAAGATGAACAGATTTTAATTTCATCAAACTATTATATATTTATATATATATATATCCCAAAGTCAAATTAGCAGTTAATCGTTAACCAAAACTTAAGTCTTACTAAAAGTTATGTCAACTTGGAATATTAAATTTTACTTTAACGTTAAGTATAAGAAAATAAAATAAAATAAAATAAAATTACAAGTTGACTTCTGGGTAGAAAATATAGATTTACTTTATATTCCTTCTTTTTATGTTAATAATAATAAATAATTAAATATTATAGCAGTAATTCGTGTTTGTCAAAGTTTTAAAATAATAATAAATTATTTATTTTTCTTAAAATTTGATCACAAGCTCTCTAAAGTCTAAACTAATCATTTTTCCCCTTCAAAAGAATAAATACTTATGACTTTCCAAAAAATTATAAAGCATGCTATTAATTATTTTCCCTTAACAAATATAATATCAGTGAAATACCAATGTGATTTATAAGTGAAATCTGAAGAGAATGATATATATAATTTTCGATAGATACTTGCCTCTTTTTCTTTAACAAATAACCAAAATAATTTTTACTATTTTTTTGGTTCCTAAGAATACTTATTAATGGCACTAGGAATTCCATGTCACCCTTTTTTCATATATATATATATATATATATATTTTTATTTTTTATTTATTTATTTATTTTTTTTATTTTTTTTTTTAGGAACTTATTAATAGGGCCACACAATAAGAATCAAGAAAACGTAAAGGACTTAAACGACGTCGTATTCATCAAATTCCTTTACTGTTACGAAATCATTTCTCAATTATAAAACAATAATTTCAGCTGTAAGAAACCCAACATTCAGTGATCATATAAAACTATTATTCTCACGAGTTTAACTTCTATGTACTGACAATTTTCAGCTGTAAGATTTACCTAAAGCTAGCAGCTATAGCCTATATAGGTAATCGACCATAAAATGGATTCGTAACCTGAAAAATAAGGCAAGTTTTTGCTACAAGCAAATGTCTGGAAAGATAAAGATTTCTGAAGGCAAAAGTGAAAAATGCAGAACAAAACTGCTATAGAGGATTGCCATAGAGGGACCAAATTAGACTAGAGATTGGAACTCCATTAATAACATTTAAGATTAACACTTCGCTACCATTGGAGGAAGGCAAACAACATAATACCTAACATAGTACTCCTACAAGTCGCGGTTGGGAGGATGCAATGTACACAAACCTTATCCTACTTTTGTAGGGTGGAGATGTTTCTGATAGACCTTTGGATTAAGAAAATCGTTTTTCTGAACGGATTTGAAAGAAATGCTAGAGTAAAAAG